CTAAGGAAGAGGAAACATTTAAGTTCCATTGTATGAATTAACTGCTACGATCTCAGAAAACAAAAAGGAAATTATTAGAAGAGTAGTAGATATTTATAAATTACTTTGTCAGTGAAGCAGTTGATCTTGGTGTGCGGCGTGCCTTGGTCCAGGTCCCACAGCAGCACCGTGTTGTCTGCGGACCCGCTCGCCAACACATGTCTGCAATAAAACATAGTCTCAAAATCACAAATACTCACAAATTATATCACTAAAGAGAAAGTGAACAAAAAAAACATACAGACGAATTGAGTACCTCCTTTCGGTCAAAAAAGTTGTATACCTGCCATCCTATTTTATCTAACCAACATATATAATTGTAATCTTTTTATTATTATAAATGCGAAAGTTTAGATGGATGTATGGATGTTCGTAGAGTAGAGAAAAATCACTTCAGATATAACAAAGCCGAGACATAAAAAAAAACAAGAACTTAACAGTCCACTTTAACTTACAACGTTAAAATTTAAGTTAAATATCTAACTTACGTGAAATTTTTATTCCATGATAGATCAAGTACGGCATCTTTATGACCAACACGTTTGATTTTTTTCTTCTTATTTGGTTTTTTGCCCAATTTGAATGCTGGCTCTAGACAGTTCTCAATGTCTAAGTCCCATACTTGTATGACTGGATCCATACCACCCAATGCACATAAATTACCTGTAAAGTCATAGAAAGAGAACATGTGAGTCGATAGGAGGCTTTAGGAGGTGAACGTCAAACCAAAGAGACTTCACAAATGTAATATGGATATAAAATTTCATTTATGTCTTTGACCTAGCCTTAATCATCCGGCTCGAAGGACCATGTTTAAATGAGAATAACAAATAAATCAGGAATTTTAAATTTAATATGTGAGTACCATTTTTATAAAAAAACAGGATGACAGGTGACATTAGATTCCTATTTTAAATATATCTTCTTTTTAATCATAAACATCCACAGTGTCTCCGAAGTGTACTAGAAAGACGAATAGTGAATTTAGGAAATCGATTAACTAAAATTATCAATAGAAATTTCTTTTATAATTCATAGATTCAACTATAGAGTAAAATAGGTTTAAAAAAAACATTACTTGGGAATTCTCAAAGCTAATTAATTAAAGATGTAACTTGCAAGCACAGATACAATGGCGGATCCAGGGGGGGGTCATGGGGATCATGACCAGACCCTGAGCCGGTTGGTCAAGAGCTTGACAAAATATATTAACATAATTTTCAAGCTTTTGACTTAACAACTATGTGATCCCTGGCGCCAAAGCTGGATCCGCCCTTGCACGGATAATACAAATCTACACAAGTATAAGAAACTTACCCGGTTGTGGATCGCTTGGATCATAACTGAGCCACTCAATACAGAGAGGGAACCACGGCAGTATGATGTCATGATGCACATAGAATGAACCCTCCTCTTTATTGAAAACTAAAAAATAATATCAGAAAGGTACATTTATTTATCATCATCAACTCACCATAGGTTACCGCTGAAGGCTTTGGAGCCTATCCTAAATTAGGGGATACAATTCTTACTTAGTGTAAAGTTAAATTTAGGAATAAACTGAGTATAAGCAAAATTTGTACTGATATTTTCTTATAATTATTTTATTACAAGTTTAACTTTATACTGCTTTTATTTGTAAGGCTCTAAAAGTGTACAGTAAATTTTAATTTATACTAATATAATAAAGCGTAAACACACACTTTGTTGCCTAAGATAGCATTTACAGCATATTTTTGAATAATTTTTTCCTTAATAAAAAACAATATCCTTACGTCATGCTTTAGGATATATGTTTTCGCGCCAATTAACTTAGGGGGTTAATATTTTGGATAAAAACCCAAATGTGGGAAAGAGACCATAAGTTGTTGCCAACATCAAAAAAAAAGATTGTTAAGGTTTGTCATATCATGTCATTTTGACATTTGCTATTGATAATTTGACAATTTTCATTATTTCATGCGGATGAAGCCGCACGGGAACAGCTAGTTTATTCATAAGACATCAAGATTAAAATTAAGACAAAAGCAAGCGGTATCTGTAAATCCTAGAGCTTAGTTGTAATGGTACAAGTAGTAGTAAATTAACAAAAATCTGCTAATAATTTAAGAAAAACAATCATAATGTGTTCAAAATATGGATACCACTTACTGTGGACTTCTAAAACGCTGGCATCACTCTCCACATGGCCAACCAGTAGCAGATTGTCTGTTGGCTTGATTATATCATCCTCTTCATCACTGTCCGGTCCTTCTGTCTGCGTAAAACAGAGCAGGGTTCATTTTACTACATTTACATCAACATTAACAAATCTATACTAATATTATAGAGAGGAAAGATTTGTACATTTGTATTTTTGTATGTATTTGATTCATGCAAAAACTACTGGACTGATTAAAAAAAATCTTTCACCATTAGAAAGGTAATTTATCTGTAACACAAGCTATAATTTTTAACTCATGCAGATGAAGTCACGAGCAACACCTAGAGTTAAATATAACATCATGAATTTTGAATCTTCTTTTCAATGTATTTATTTAGCTTTAAACTGCTATTTCATCCATACATTCAAAAACATCCTAGTATGTAGCCTACGTTTTCTTATACATTATGTTCTACATCTGTGCCAAACATTGAGATTCCAGTTGTTTTGAGCTATGCAGAAACGTCTATTCATCCAAACTTTTGTATTCACAACATTACTATGAAATATCTTTTCTAAATAAGTTTATAAAATATATATACTAATATACAGCTATGTTAAAATTATTATCACTTACTCTTATCTGAACATCTTCACTGAGGTCTCCTAAGTTAGGCAAAGTTGCCACAGTACCAATACCAATAGGGTTGGCTGTTACTGAAAATTGCAATAATCTTATTTATTATTACTTGTCATTCATCGAGTGTGAACATGAAGTCTGAGCATGATAACATAGTTTATGCCATCCCTAAACATTTGAAGTTTCTATTGGTAAACTAAAGGCCTAATAATTATGGGATTTCAATTACTAATTTAGTAATTTGTTAATTGGAGCAACATCTAAATTATTAAACCAATTATGATAAATATGTCAATTGATTTACATTCTTGCTCCGAGAGTCACAGGGCTATGATCGGTTGGATTATTTTAAAAGTTAGATACACTAAACAATAATTCAAGTATTTACTTACAGCTATCTTCCTCGTCATATTGTTCAAAATTGAATTCATCATTAGGATTTGCTGGAGGTTCAGCAGTTTCTGTTTCACCTTCTTCATCACTCTGGTCATCGCCTTGTTCTGTAATCCTTGACATTTTATAGAACGGTGTGAAAGTAATGTATAACGATCAAAACATCAAATAATAAATATAATTGTTAGGAAACAAAACAGAATGTAAAACTAAGTTGAAATTAGTAACAAATACCTCAAATCATCGGCAGTTTGTTTGATTATTTTCTCCAATTCCTTTTCTGTTAATTCTATCTGGAATAACATGTAGAATTAGAAATTGTTAATTAAAAATATATTCAATAAAAATGTTACTGTGAACGAAATATACTTTTTCAGGAACTGATTTGGCAACTCCTCTTTGCACAAAATGCATACATGATACTAAGCTAACAGTTGGTGTATTTTCTTCCATATCTTATTGAAATATTAGCACGAGGCAAAACTAAAACGTGCTTTTCAATAACACTATTTGACAATTTTGATTTGATTTTGACAGCACTTTGTTTATTACATTTTTTGACTTTTGCAAATACCAAAGACTAAAGTCAAATATCTCGACAATTTTAAAAGCTACCTAAAATATATTTTCTAAAGAGATAAAAAAATATTAAATGAAAGGTGAAAAGGATATCCATGTTTGGGAATTTAAAAGTATTCTACATGTTATATACGATAAGATTGATAAAATTATCTTTTACGTGCGATTCTCAAATTAATTTAACAAAAATATTAGCCTACATTTAGACCTTCTATAACTGTAATAGACATTTTCTTGTTCTGATCTTATTAAATTGTCGGATCGACTTCTTCCATTTCACACCACTATTAGTCTGTGGGCCAAATTGACCATACGAGTAATACGAAAGTACTTTATTTGACGTCGGTCTTCTAAAGACTTTTTGTGTAGTTTTAAAGTGCTAAACATGGTGAATTGTGCAGTTTACATGTGTAAAAGAAGATCAAAAACTTCGAATTTACGAAAAGATAATGTCTCCTATCACAAGTTAGTTGTGTAGTATTAAAAATGTGGCCTTATCCTTATATTTCCGTTTATCTCATTAGACGTCAATAAACCACTTGCTGATGTTATAGGGATGTTTATTGTTCATTTACGGTTAACTGTAAAATTTATAAAAAGAAGTGGTTCTTTAAAAAATTACATTCATATAAAATTAGTTAAATCCCCACCGTATTTTCTTATATCGATTTTGATGTTTTAAAATATCTTATTTCGTTATGTTATGTTTTATAAGATTGCAGTTTTGGATTCTTAACTCTTCATATGTAGTTGAGTCCTTTAGACGTGCGTAAAAGAAAACAAGATATAATTATAGGATTACTGTTTAATTTGACCCTGACATCGTATGATTGCCGTATCGCATTCGCGGAGGATCATAATATATGTAAATAGCAGTGTTACAATTATTAATAAAGACCTTAATTTTGTTTTTGATGTAAAATTATAACAGTGACTTTAATAGTGACTAAAAAAATTTTATTCTAACCGGATTAAACAATCGAATAAAAATCCGAGTAATTCCTTAAACTTTGGTTAAAGGTTTCCTAGAGATCCTGTAACAAGGCAAGCATGGAGAAAATTTTGTAATAGAAATAATAAATGGCATCCTACAGCAACAAGTGCCATTTGCTCAGATCACTTTACCACAGCTAGTTTCAAGGTATATTCTAACATCAAGCGAATATTGAACAAAGGGGCAATACCAACTCTTCGCACCTGCTACTGCTCGGTAAATTGTTCTATCACGATTATTCGCAAATCAATATGAAGAAAAATTTTTATCAAAATAAAATGAAGCATAGTTGTTTTCGTCATTCTTATTTCTATTTCAGAAAACAAAACAAGAAAAACATATTAAAAATGAGGAGATATCGAAACGCCAACAGCAAACTTCGAAAAGGGCACCTTCTAAAAATGTACGGACACTCTTTTTGTTGCTAGGTATTAAATTGGGTGACTTATTTTATTAGCACTGTTTTAGGTAGCAATTTCTGCGTGTAAAAAGAGTAAGATTGATTTAAATGATAAAAACAAAACAATTAAGAAACTTCGAGATAACAATCGATACTTGAAAAATAGACTTATTACTTTAAAAGAAACCGTAAAAAAGTTACAAGAGATGTCTTTAAAAGTTAAAGAAGAGAGTATATTAGAAGAAAATGAAATATCGGAAAACAATAGCCCGGAAAGGTATGAAAGAAATGCTCTCTCTGTCTTTTTACTTAAGAAGTATGTTTAGTTGACGAAAAAACCGACAAGACCCATCTCTACCTCGTACGGTTACTAAGTTAGTGTGAACATACTTTACGTTGTGAATGGAAATGAAATTTTAAATTAGAAAGTAAAATAAAAAGTTTAAAAGTTAAAGGTAATCAATAGAAGAATGAACATTTCTTTATTTTTGACATTACCTTCCTAATTTTTATTGTTCCAATTTTCGAATGTGTTTTTTATCTGTGACGTAAATTATAGTGTGATTGTCACGAAGTTTAAAGTTTACTTTTATTACGAAGGTAACGTTATTAAAATTATTGCTCAAAATAAGCTGTAAGTAACAATAAAATTCTCTTAATAAGGCAAATGTGGTAATCAAAATGTATGTTTTAAATAATACGAGATATCCAAGCACCATAGACAACTATATCACAAGTCAACATTGGTTTGGTTTCATTTCCTGCGTGATAAAGGAAAAACGTATACGGATAATTCAAGTTATTAAAAATATCAAATTATCTTATGAAATATTCAGTTGTGATTCGCACATAAAATATTTTTTATTGAGGTTAAAATTCGTACCCTTATTTGGCCTTATAGTAACGTTCTGACAGATGAAGTAAGATTGTCGATTAACAAATACAAAATAACTTGAGTGTACAGATAGTGTGATAATTTCTAAAAATAAGAGTCTTCCTTATATAATTCATGTAAAGGTATTTAAATATCTGGACAAAAAAATACATGAATAATTTTGTTTTATTGTTACAAAAATTGTGACTTTTGTCTAATCTAGTTTATCGTCATTTTTAAAACGTCAATATTGTTTTCAGTTGATGACATTACTTTCGACTTGACTGTTCTATTTTGTATTTTTACATAGTCTTTGTGATTTTTTTTAAGTTATGATTCAAAATTGTATTTATAATAAGACTAAAGCTTCTCGATTTTGTGGCTTAGGTCAAGGAACATGAGTAAAGATAAAGAAGAAGTAATACCCCCTACAGAATGTGGATTGGCGGAATGCCGAACATGTCTCCAGGCACTTGATAATAATTCAGTTTTGGTCGATTTATTTCAATGCTGGGTACCACCTTGGGATGGAATGGAGTCAACTATAGCTGAGGATTTAGCCAAACTCGCGAATGTGCAGGTATTTTATGGATTCTATTCTCGAAAAACATGTAAAAAGTTAAGACTACTGTTTTAAATTTCTCTATCGGTGCATTCTCTTCAGAAACATCGTCTTTAATATAACCTCCAAATTTATCAAGTTTGTTTAAATGAAGTATTTTTTCAATGTAATGGAAATGCACAATATAAAAAATATTCAACTGTATCTTATTTTACACATTAAATTTTATTTTTAGATCACACAAACAGATGAATACTCTAAAGTTATATGTGAGCCTTGTTGTCTCAAACTACAGAGTGCATGTGATTTTGCATATATTGTATGTAAAAATGACAGATTACTGCGTCAGAAACATCTACAATTACCTGATAATCTTGACAATAGTAACGAGACAATATGGCCTAAGCCTATTCAAATAGACAAGAATATCAACAGAATCTATGACAGTTATGAGGATGTTGAAATCAAGCAAGAAGCGATGTCGGAGGATGAATATAATGGTATGGAAGATTCTAGAGAGGGAATGGCCAGTTTGGAAATTAAAATTGAACCCGAAGAGTTGATACAACCAATGTTAACACAACCACAAGAAAATAAACAAAGTGATGGGGTGCAATCACCTTATCTTGAGTTAAATGGTATGTACCTATTTAATTAGAAATTGCTATTCGGCTAAACTATGTAATCATCATCATCACCAGCTCCTTATTTGTCCCTACTAAGGGGCTTGCAACCTACCCTAAAGGGTGACTAGGCCATAATCAACCACGCTGGCCCAGTGCGGGTTGGTCGACTTTACACATACCTTTGAATTTCTTCAATATATGTACAGGTTGCATCACAATGCATTCCTTCACCATAAAAACATCAGGTAAATTATGTACGTATGTATGTATGTATGAAATTTGAAAATCGAAAATCACATTGGTACATGGCGGTATTTGAATCCAAGACCTGTAGATTACAAGTAAAGTGCTTAACCTTTAACTATGGATGTGCAGTCTCACAGACCGCTCGTGGTTTGTGATTCGGGTATCCCGCACCAGACGCGTTTGCCGGCCTTAGTAGCTTCACGTTTAGTAGTGAAATGAAGATTGAAGCGAGAGGTTGCGTCGATGGTTCCTTATTGGTGAGTTATTTGATATTTTATTTCGATCGCGGTCTGTAGGACCTCACGTCCGTGTTTTTGTAGTGCATTGTGCTTACAATATTTTTTTATTGTAGATGTTTTTTGTTTGAAAATGACGGATAATGAAAGGCCTAGTACTTCAGGATCCAAAAGGAAGTCAAGCTCATCTTTAGCTCCCAAGGAGAATAAATTATTACGACTAGATGACCCTTCTTTCGAAGATGTACTTCTGGAATCAGATCAGTGTGATAGTGATGGAGACATTGATGACTGCTTACTACACGAACAGGACTTAGATAAAAATCACGTGAGTGATCGAGAAATGGCCGAGGACTCCAAAATTTCCAATTCTGTCAGAAGTTCTGATGGTTCAGACGACGATTCTCCACTTACACAGCTACGGACTAAGTATTGCTATGGCAAAAATCGGTACAAATGTGCTACCAATCCACAGTCAAGAAGAGTTTGTACTGCACAGCACAACATAGCGGTTAGTACTAGATCCATTGAACAGCTGACAGAAGATGAAAAGAAAGATCCCATTAGTATTTGGAATAAACTTTTTGATTCCGAAATGCGGCAAACTATTTTGACTTGGACCAACTTTAAAATAGCCCAGCTGAGAGCCCACTTCAAGCGGCAAGAGAGGCCAGAATTAAAAGATGTAGATATGATAGAATTGAATGCTTTCCTGGGATTATTGTATTATGCTGCTGTCCTGAAGTTGAATCATGCAGCGACAAGTTTTTTGTTTGCTACCGATGGCACAGGCTCTGAAATATTCAGGTGCTGCTTGTCTGAAACCCGATTTTTAGTCCTTTTGTCATGCTTGCGCTTTGACAACCCAGCTGATCGTTCTGAGAGACTAAAAACTAATAAATTAGCTGCTGTTTCTGGTATATTTACTGCTTTTGTTACCAATTCTCAAAAACTATATAATGTCAGTGAATATGTTACCATAGACAAGATGCTAATAGAGTTTCGTGGAAGGACTCACATGGTTATGTACATGCCTCACAAACCTGGTAAATATGGTCTTCTTATTCATGCATTGTGTGACGCCAAGACCTTTTACTTTTATAATGGATATTTGTATTCGGGTAAAGGCTGCGATGGGACTGGATTATCAGATGATGAAAAAAAATTTCTTGTACCCACTCAGTGCGTTTTACGACTGACACAGCCACTACAAGGAACCAATCGTAATGTGACAGCAGACAATTGGTTTTCATCTGTCGAGCTAGTAGATGAACTGTCCAAGCGGAAACTTACGTACGTTGGGACAGTAAAAAAGAATGAACGAGAAATTCCGAACGAATTTCAGCCACATAAATCAAGAGAGATTGGATCAACATTATTTGGCTTTACAAATGATAAAACTCTGTGTTCACATGTACCAAAACAGAATAAGGCAGAACTTCTGGTATCTTCTATGCATCATAGCAACATAATAGATGAGAAGGCAACTAAACCGGAGATGATATTATTTTACAACTCCACCAAAGGCGCGGTAGATGAAACCGACAAAAATTGTTCGATTTATTCGAGTAGTCGACGAACAAAAAGGTGGCCTATGGTGGTGTTCTACAGAATTCTGGACTTATGTGGCATAAATGCCTACATTTTACATAACCAACACCAACACAGAGGACTGGATAGAGGTAAATTTTTAAAGGAACTGGCACGATCATTGGTAGTACCTCAATTGCAAAGAAGAGTTATGAACTCTCGTTTGCCAAATGAATTGACACTGACGATAAAACGTGTTTTGGGTCCTGATATGCCAAATCCAGAAGTCCCAGAAACTACTGTTTCTAAACGCAGGACATGTGCACTTTGCCCTCCAAAGATAAAAAGAAAGACAACTTACATATGTGTAGGCTGTCGGCTGCCAATATGCCTTCAGTGCTCAAAGCCACAGTGCAAAAACTGCCAGTAAAATGTCCAAGTTGTGTCATTGTCAGAATTTTTATGTTTATGTTTTTAGAAGAGATGTTTTATTTTCTGTAATTTTAATTTTATAAAGTCACCCTGGTGCCTAAACAATTTATTTAAAAAAAAAACGTTCCTTTATAGTGATCTCGTACAAAAAGTCTGGAAAGAGTGCGTACCTGTGTTATACGGTTAGTTTTTGTTATGAAGAAATAAAAAATATGTATGCATTTTATGTTTTTATTTACATTTAGCAACTTATACAGGGGATAACATAAAAAATCTGTTTTTAAAGTGATTTGAGTGTGAAACTCGCCTTTGAACATAGCGTCTGTGAGACCGCACGTCCAAAGGTACGTGACAAAAAAAAATACGTCCATAGTTATAGGTTAAACCCCTGAGCTACCAATGCTCTTCTAAACTATGTAAATTCAATCAATTTTCAGTATTCTTGGTACATATACATTATGATAAAATTAGTCGATAAACTATTTTTGTTTCAGGACATATTTTTCATAATTCACAAGAGGAAATTCCATTAACAAATGGTACTGATAATAAAGAGGATGTAAGTATGTTTAATTAAGCTGATATTACCAAATTTCTAATATCCATTTAAAATAGATCAGTATAATAAAGTAATAGTTTGTGTTAAAAGTTGATTCTATTTTCAGATCTTTTATTTTCGTTTCTACATTGATTGTAATAGCTAATTATTAATTAAAAATTACATTTATATTCTATTGGGTACTTTTATTTTGTGCTTTTACATATTAGACACCAGTTTTTAAAGACCACTCGTCACCAGTTACTTAAATATGTCACCAATCATAGGTTAATACACTGTGATAAATTTTTCACTAAACTTTCAGCTTCTAGAAATTAAGGAGGAACCTCTCAGTGACATAGAAGATGTAGATGTTATACCAACAGATCTACCGCTGGTGTGTATGCTGTGCTGCAAAGAACTGAACAGTGTTAGTGGTTTGAAGGTAATCTTACTGATATTAATGCGAAAGTTTAGATAGATAGATGGATGTAGAGTTTGTAACCTAAACGACGTAACAGATCACAAAGAAACTTAGCATAGATGTAGAGGATATTCTAAAAGAAGACATAGCCTAAACACTTTTGTTTTTTTTTTATTTCACGCGGATGAAGACGCGGGCGAAAGCTAGTCTTCAATAAATTTAGTTCAAGAGTGTCATTCTTCTGTTTAGAAATAGAAAGGTTCACATCCTGGTCATAATAATATTTCATTTCCATAGCTTATTTTCAGGTAATATAGAGAAGTATGTACTCATTTTGTAATGATATTTTTAGGCTCATGTGATCGCTCAGCATTCATATAAATCTGTGAAAAGAAAGTCTGGAAGTTGTTCACCGGAGAAGAGGAAACGGAAGCAGGAATTTGTTTGTGGTACATGTCAAAGGAGTGAGTATAATTAAAATACGTACACTAATAATAAAAATAGCCTATTTCTGCATAGGATAGTGTAGGTTCCCAAAAGTTAAAGAATGATTCAAATTAATAAACAATAAAAACTTTTATCTTTAAAATTTGTATATTTACATCATACTGTGTAATTCATGTAACTTATTCTGGAACAAAACATAGACTACTTATAATACTTTTTAATATTTCATACAGACTGTCAGGGACAAAAGTTTCTTGGATCAAAATGAACTAAGCTTGTTCAAATCATCTAATATTTGTTTAATTTGCAGGATTTACGACGTCAACAGATCTAATGGTCCACGAGACTTGTCACAACAAGAGTGTGTGTTACGCTTGCTCGGCAAAGTTTGACTCATTTGAACAGCTGACAATACACAGCCGCACATGTAAAGCTATTGCAAATAAAGAACCACAGAAACCCAAGACTTTGGAGGATGTTAAAAGGTAAAGAAATTAAAAAGTATTAATTTAAGTCTAGTTTTCGCCTGCGACACAGTCCGCGTGGAATTAAAAAAACGAAAGTGAATAGCCTGTGCTCTTCCAGACTACCCTCTAAGTCTATGAGAAATTTCATCCAAACATGCATGTTTCCATCTAAACTTTCATATTTATAATATTAGGCGAATTCAAGTTTAACTTTTTAGTTATTTGGCTCATAATTTCTTTTGAATGTACAAGATTTAATTTTCATCTCAATAGCTTATTATATTTCTCTCCTTTGCAGACCGATAATAAAGAACTCGTTTTCAATGAGGCAACCGATAAAGGAACCAACAAATGTTACTTATAAATGTGAATCATGCAGTGAAGAGTTTAGTGATAAATATTATTTGACAATACACGAAGAGATATATCATACAAGTGAACAATACAGTGAAGTGAATGAAAATGGTGATGTGCAAACCGAGGACACTTTAAGAAGTGTATTTGGTAGTGATAGCAGTTAATTTTGTTTTGTATATGCGTAAATGTTAATGGACTGATATAGTGAGTTTTATAACTTGAGTTTTTCTGCACAGACTTAATAAAACTGCATTCAACAAAAAACAACAACCATTAGGTTGTTCGAATTAAATCTATACAGATAATACTGGTTAAATACAGCTTCTGGTCAGAATTGTTAATGTCGAAGATAAATTAAAGAAGCTATTTTAATTCGAAAAATTACAATCATGAGTTTTGAATTTTTTTTTTACAGTTTCGCAAATTAGCGACCACTAGTGTGAACTGTTTTGTTTGCTACAAAAAAGTTTTTAAAGACTTAACAGCCTTTCAAATAAACGCGGTATAAAGTTAAATTTAGGAATAAACTGAGTATAAGCAAATATTAGTACTAATAGTAGTAGTTATATTAATACTAATATGTGTATATACAAGAGCGTCGGTGGCTCAGTGGTTTAAGCACTTGACTTGTAATCTACAGGTCCTGGGTTCGAATCCCGCCGTACCACTGTGATTTTCGAAATTTCATATGTACATAATTTACCCGACTTTCTTACGGTGAAGGAAAACATCGTGATGCAACCTGCACATATCGCCGAAAAATTTCAAAGATATGTGTGAAGTCAACCAACTTGCCCTGGGCCAGTGTGGTTGTCTATGGCCTAGTCACCCTAACTTAGGGTAGGCTTCGAGCCCCTCGGTGACATATAGTAAGCTGGTGATGTATATACTCAGTCTATTCCAAAGTTTAACTTTGTACCTCGTTTATTTATAAGGCTGTATTAGTGTTTTGTCCATGTTTAGATATAGCAGTTTAAATTGTTCTGAAATGTGGAAATTGTGTAGAAATAAAGCAATAACTTTTTTCAAATGTTTAGATAGTGTAATTTCCCATTGTAAACTGTACCATTTTATGTATGTTATTTTATTTTGTGCATGTTTTTGTATAAAAAGTGAATTAGTAATAAATAGTTAAATAATATAGATGTTGTTTTATTAATAGTAAAATGAGGATATTTCTAACAGTCATATTCTAGTGTAGTCATAGTCACCACCCTAATTTAGGGTAGGCTCCGAGCTCCTCGGTGAGGAAGTATAGTGAGCTGGTGATGATGATATTTTAGGAGATGTGGAAAAATAAAACGTCGTATTTCCAAACAAATATATAATTTAATTTTAATACAACAATTGCCATTGTCAAATATATTTATGGCTGTTAAAGGATTTAAAAACAAGTGATAAATTAAAAAAGATTAAACCGGAGAACTTGAAAAGTAGAAAGTAAAATAATACTGTGCTCTAAGTGCATAAGAAAAAATCACATATGCTTAATGTTAAAGAAATTATACATTGAGAATACAGGAAAAAATATGTACAATATATTCCATAAAATATTAAAAGACGAGATTAAGTGACTGAAAAATTTACAAAATTTCATAAATACAGGGAATGTTGAAAACAATAAAAATATAATTTAAATTCAATCGCACTTATAAAAAAACGAAAAATGTTACAAAATCCTAATATAATTTAACATTGATAAACTTAAAATTCTCCAAGCAAACTTCAAAAGGACTCGAAGAAGTGTATTTTAGTTTCTATTCATTTCGTTTAAGATACGAAGAATGTATAGGAACAGGTTGATAATATCCATATACAGATTGATTGTAGCGAGGATGTATTCTTCCGGAGACAATGTGGTCATCATCTGCTGAGTGTCGAAGATGAGGAAGAGACTGAAGAAGATTGCTCCAGCGAAAGAGAGAGCGACCTCGAACGCGGAGCTTTGCAGGAAGATTTGGATTAGCCCGCCCACAATCAGCACACTGAGTCCAGCCACCAGTCTAAAATGCATAAATTTATATATATTACTGCACTTTTCTTTTGTCTCAATTAAAAGCTGTTTTTAACTGACTTCGATAAGGAGTTTTTTAAATTGGATTTTTATATGTATATCCAACATGCAGTGATTTGAGATCCAATTTGATCTGATATTTGTTTTCATAATAAAAAATTATTAAGTGGTAGTGCCCGGTTTAACATCTTAGCACTGCAGGGCCAGCACGCATTCAGTAATACCACGACCACACAGAAGACAGGCGTGAAATGGAAGCAATTCCGTGTTTCATCTGATGAGTTTGGTGACGGAGGCCTAATTTAAGTCCCTTTCTCTTTACCACCCTTTTCTTATAAGAGGTTGGGAAGAGGAGGTGGATTTGACGGTGGAGGAGATGCATAGTAAGGGGAAATATCCTCTTAATGTGAGTCTCCTCCTCCGTCGTACAAGGGAAGGCAACGCATCTGCAATTGAGGATGTCTATGGGCAGCTGATGCTTCGCAATTTTGGCGGTTGCAGGTGGCCGCTTGGACGTTTGCCACCTTATGTTATAAAAAGAAAAAAGTAGTTTTTGAGTTTTTCTGATTAAAAAAACCATACCAAAAGTCTGAATTTATTGCTTTTTGTTTAATAATTTTATTTATTTATCATCAATTAATACGTACTTTACGTTTAATTAATAGTTATGGTACTCACCCATATCCAATGAAAGAGAAGTCACGTTTAGTGTTGAGTGTATACAGGGTGAGCGACAACACGACAGCGAAGGTGATAGCAAGCGCCTGCAGCACTATGAATGTATCATAGAAGGACACCACCACACCCACAGTGTACGCTTGCACAGCAGTCTGAAAACAATAATATCCATGAACTAAAATATATGAAAATAAGATAAAAAAAATGTCCAAACGATATTAAGAAGCATGGGGCAAGTTTCAGTCGAAAATATTTTTTTTTTACATTAGATTAAATTACTCTAAATCTGCAAAGAATCATGGGACATACTTTGGGCTTCAACAATAACCATCAATGTCTTCTACCATTGAGAATCACATGCAACTAAATGTATGTATTTTTGTAGTCATAAACCATTACATCATATTGCAGGTATACTTGAGATTTGAATGATTTCATATGTACTTCTTCATTTCATTGAAGGAACTCTAAAAAAAATTGTTTGCAATATACTCACGAATGCAGCGAGAAGGTAAAAGTTTGCCGGGGAATCCCGGCGCTTCGCGATTAGAGCGAACAACGTCACAATACTCAATATGAAGGCAATGAATACCATCCAGTCACTGAAAACACATCAACAACTGAATACTAAACATTTCTTTTTTCACTTAAATACCTAAGCTTAAAGAAGGAAAACAGAGTTGTAATGTAGATTATACTTTAATTTTTTTAAACCATTTTACAATTGGTCGGTCAAGGGATTGTTCAGTTGTTTCGGTGTACAGAATAATTGTATCATAGAAAAAAAAAATCATTAATAGTAGCATAAAGCTAAATTGCCAGCGTGACAAAAAAAGTTTGTTATCTTATTTCTTTGTATTACATTATCTTTGTTAGGCAGAAAACATGCTTTCATAGCATTGACAGGAAGACATGTTATCTTTCAACTCTTATCTTTATCTATCAAATATGAAGTACAACTATTTTGGTAATTTAAATTATCAGAACACGCACTTCTTTTAATACTAGCTTTTGCCCACGACTCCGTCCGCGTGGAATTAAAAAATCGAATCTCCTATGTGTTCTTTCAGACTATCCTCTATATCCATACAAAATTCCATCAAAATCCGTTCAGCCCTTTAGGCTACAAATTCTAACAAACATCCATCCATCAAAACTTTCGCATTTATAATATTAGTATCAAGTATGATTAATTTCAAACTCCAGAATTAAATCAGCCTTGTGTTATTTTAACATGTTTTTTCATGTTTTTTTAAAGGTTTAATGATTTTATTTTCACAGGTTCCTTAACTGTGTTTTATTCTTTACAGTCTCATAACAACCAACATTTAGAGTAATCCATATAGACTCTATTTAACTAATTATAATAATTCTGGTAATGTAAGTACAGTAAACAAATTGGTCATATTAGTTGCTTGCAATTTTGTTCATGTGAAATTTAATAATACTCAGTTAATTAGTGATAACAAAGCTTTCTAATAGTAACAGAATTATTGAGTTATTTCAATACATACAAAGATCTTATTTATTTATTTACACTTTGTACACAAGGAAAACAATCACAAAAAAATATACATATTGAGCGTTGGTTGTACAGGCGAGCATAACTCTAATAGAGTTTTCTTACTGCGAACCATTTCGATACAAATTAGATGTTTAGCAGGTAATTATGATGTGCAAAGTAAAAAATAAGACATTTAAAACACTTTCTTTCCTCTTATAATATTAGTAATAAACATCTCATAATTAAATTTCTATACATACTTTTGGTGTATGAACAGTTGTACTGGTTTGACAAGCAGGAAAACTGCTGCAATAGCCACCGTAGCCAGCAACTGAACTGTGAGAAGACCATACACTTTGCGCACAAAACCCAAACGGATCTCTTTATCAGCATTCATCACATTGTTGCGATATGCGAAATCATCCTGAGAATAGAACATACATTAAAAATGTACAGTCAATTTATAAGAGTTTAAATCAAAATATATAGTAAGTTCATAAAGTAAACATCGGTTACATAGTTTTAATAAGTTCTTAGTATTCTGGAAAAGTTATGATTACAACATAGTATTGATTATTCTGCTGTCATAGTGGCAGTGTTTTGAGTTCAAGAAAATATACAAAATGGCTACATTACATAGGCATATGTTTTAATAAGAAAGTAAACAAACTAGATTAGTCAATTTGGGACAAAATAAATTTCTACTTCTAACTTTCTATGGCTTGTATATCGAGTTATGAATACATTATGGTAATTATTTGCAGTAAACAGAATCGTATTATTGTCAATAGATAAGGTCAGCTGACGAATTCAATGGATTTCATAACTTTCTTACCTCTATCGATTCCTTTCCACCAAGTTCACAATCTTCTTGAGCATACATTAATGGTATGTTGGCCATGATTAGATCTGATTCGTTATATTACTGAAATACCTTGTTTCTTCGTGTCGATATTCAATAATTTCCTTGAAAACAAGAAGAAATGACAAGTTAGATCGGATGACGTTTGTGACAAAAGACAAAGACAAAAATTAATGTTGCTATTTATATAAATTAGAAAAATGCTCTACTTTAAAATTAACTCTACTTTAACTTAATTAAAATTTTTATAAAAAATAGAATGCATTTTAAAATAAAGTACAAGTTAACACAAGAAACTAGCCTTTATCGGTATCCTACATTGAACCTATCGAACGACCACAATTGAGCCTATAGCAAGAAGAACCTCCTTGTTACCTTCGTTTCAAAACCCGGGACATTATGGGGTCACGAAATAATTAAACTCGATAACTCCCAAAATATAGTTGCTTAAGTATCTTTAGTGCAAAATCGTTTGAGAGCTTTGCATCAATTACTGAAGATAAGTACATACAAGACTATGTAAATAGGTTTGTTTACCCGATAGCCTTGACGATGCACCATTCTTACAATGGGTCAATTCAAGTAGCTTACCCAGTGAAATGTTACTGACCTACTTAGCTGACATCAATTGTCTACAATGTCGTGCTTTTTTACATTTTGTAAGCAGTCATATTTCTTCTAAGAAGTCCATTGTTGCATGAACCTATTTTTACTACTAAACAGTAGTGTCCAAAGATTACTAGCCTGCGGTATTGAAGGTCTTTGCATTTCATTTGCCTTTGCAACTTTGCATTCGAGTATTTTAATCATTTGCGTTTAGAATCGTTTTATAAAGTTTTAGTTACATCAGGCTAACATTCATTATTCGTCATTTATTTTCTACAACTGGCAATGAAATATAGCTGTATATTTTCTGGCTAATTTCAATAAAATAACAAGTTTAATATTATAGAAAGTATCTTACTCAGCATGCGAAAGTTTTGAATTGAGACGTAAATTCTTGTCTAGTGTAATTGCTGCTTAAAACTCGATTGTCGCAAACTTGATGTCGTCGTCAAGAGGAATTTAATTAGCATTCCCGCGAATAATTCTTCAATAAAGATGTTCAAGATAAAATGGAGCAAATTTTATTACATCGACGTATCTATGGATAGTAAGCATCCGTTACACTAACAAAGTTTCTAGCTTGTTTGAAGTAATATTGCTATTTATTATAAAGATTATTTTTTCAGTACTTTTGCACACATACTTATATCCAATGTCTTTAGCTCTAAGGTAATGTTAGCTGAAATATGATTCTGTTTAAAGTGGTCAAAAAATTTGAGTAAAACATAAAACATGATGAAGTAGGAACATTTAGTAGCAATCAATTAAGGGACTGTACTAACGATTAGTGTTGGTAAGCAGTGACGCGCTTTGTGGCTCACCGAGTTCGCGCAATGAAAATAAACTGGGTTGCATTTGCCCCATGGACCGGCGGTATTAAAACATATACGTATAGGAACTACTGAAATACACGAATCAGAGAATTTCAGGCAGATTTGTTCTCTGTGTTACCTTGTATGATGTCGCAAATGTAAAAACTTTAAATGTTTATGGCCATGGTTTAAAACTTAAAATTCTCTGGAGATGTTTTAAAATAGTGTTCCAGAACTGATCCGACAATGTTTTCTTCTTTGTTTCCGCGTAGAAAGCATAAATATAAACTTACTATGAAGATTGTTCTGAACAGAACGATCAAAAATGCTTTCAACGGTGGACGTAAATCAAACGATTTGCGAACGTTAAATCACTACAAACATCCACAACGGCACGGCGAAAGCTCATTCAAACAAAACAGCTTTATACATCAAAGGCTCGCGGCCGGCACCGATGCATCGCATTTCGTCAAAGCCCAACTGCATTGTGCGATACCGCATTGCACCCAAGCACCAAAGCACCAATTCACATCCCAGGCAAATTAATTCTCAATAGCACCGTTATCTCTGGCGAGTGTTGCCAATTGCCATGATTAATTGGTTTATGGTTAGCATAGATTATCGATGACTTTAATTTTTAATTGATGTGTTAAAAATCGATTAGACGCACAGTATCAACATTATAAAAATAATTTAGCCACAATTAAGGGAGATTACATAGTGATTTGCGTTCAGCTGCCTAAGCTTGGTCTGGAAAATACCGACTTCTTTATGAAAAGACATAAAATAAACAGGCATTTCTATACTTGTGTGATTCCTTTTCTTTTATGATATAGTATGAATTTGAAGATATGATCCTTTTATGTCTATTTCTGTATAACTTGTACGTATACTTTTAACAGCTGGACTCAATTTAAAGGGGATTATAAAAATGCCAAGTGAAATTTGTAAAATTCCTCCATTCTAATTAATTATTTTACGAAAATACTCTACATTTCTTATAATGACGACTGGTGCAAAAGTTTAAAATGAAAATTAGAAAGTTAAAAATAGCCACCGACAGCGATTCTTCCGATTTTTTTATCACGACAATCTTTATGAGTCGTATTCTCGTGAAAATTTTAATTAAATTCCTGTTAGAAGCGTCGAGTTTGCGACAGCGGAGTTTTAAGGCGTTCCAATATGAAAGCGCCTCATCTTTTCATCTCTGTGGAATATATTTTAATATTAAGAATAAAGTATTATTCGTCTATTCCTATAAACCTTCCATAACACTTGTATTTTTTTTAATGAGAATTAAAGGTTAATCTACATACTAATATTAAGAATACGACATTTTTTTAGATGTAAACAGTAAACTCAAAAACTTCACGGCAGAATTCAAAAAAACTTTCACCGTTAAAAAAGAATTATCAATGAATAACAGGCTATATTTTAGTAGTTTTTGTTCCGACGAGCTAGTGGAATTCTACGGTTAGAGATTTATCCTTAGTTTTTAACAGTGGTAGAGCCCGCTTTAACATCTTCGCACGAATGGGCCGGTTCGCCCGGTGTAATACCACGACCACACAGAAAACAGGCGTGAAGTGGAAGTAATTCCGCGTTTCGTGTCATGAGTGTGGTGCCAGAGGCCTAATTTTACTCCCTTTCCCTTTTCACCCTTTTCTTAAGGAAAAAGTAGATTTGACGGTGGAGAAGATGCATAGGAAGGGAAAATGTGCGTGCGCTCTTTATGTGCGTCTCCTCCGTTGATTAAGGGTAGGCAACGCATCTGCAATTGCGGATGTTTATGGGCAGCGGTCGCTTTCCATTTCGGTGGATTAAGATGGCCGCTTGCTTGTTTGCCACCTTATATTATAAAAAAAGTCCGTTTAATGACATTGCAAAATTTACTAACGAAAGTGGAGATTAGAAGAAGGATAATGCATAAATTCCAGCGATATGGTCAACTATCAACTCTAGTCAGTAGATCTAAAGTACATCTAATGAACGATTGTGCGAAACTTTTTTATGCAGAGACGATAGCAGTTGCATAAGAAAGATAGTGACTTTTGTTTGGAAGGTAGGGGGGTTACAAAATTATTGTATCAATGATATTTTAATTTCCGCAGTGACGAATGCAACTTGGCTGCATTGCGGTATCGTACATTGCAGATAGGCTTTGCTGAATTTCAAATCACGAAAAAATTTATAACGATTTTTTCATATATTTTTAATACTTAACATTAATAAATGAAAATAAGTGCGAACGCTGATAATTAGCTAACGGAGGTTAGTCATTACTCCTTTTGCTTATACGCCAAGTTTTCGTCTCGTACAAGTTATTTATCTAACGCCAACAAGACGTTGCTTTCGTCGACTTATAGAAATTCTTTTTTTTTATAAGTATTCAAGTTCAAATTATTTTAATAAAAAAAAATTGTTTACAATCTTACTAAATTATAATAAGCGATTTGATTGACGGTTTACACGTTTTAAATACTAGTGTTTTTTTTACCAAGTAACCTAGATTTATTTTCTTAAAAGTTAATTACTCTAAATTTTTTCCGCTGACCGAGCTTTTTCAAACCACTAGAGCTTTTTGCACGTTTGAGCTTTTGAATCTTTAACCAACCTGTTCAAACTCAACGATACAGAGTTAGAGTAAAAAAATATATAAGATCTCAAAGCTGCGGTTCTGTAGTACATTCAACTTGTCTCAGAATTTCTAAGCTACACGTTCTATGCTTACGAATATTTTAGGATATGCAACACACGTGTATGCTAACTTTGAATCTATTTCGTATATATTTTTTTTATTATAAATCTATCTTTATCTTTAGTGTGTTATATTTGTCAATAATCAACCATGAAATGGAATAAAAGTTCATTTTGTTTGTTCTGAATTAAAAGACAAAAACAATTGTGGGTAACCAACAACAGTGGGTAATGGAACTGTAATATCCCAATCTCCTATTCAAAGAAAATGCTGCTGTCAACTTGAGTTTATAATTAACCGACTATGGTTTCATAGAAATTGAATTTTCAAATAATTGTACTCTAAGCAACCTCAGGCGAACTTGTTCCGTAAAAGGCAAAGACACAACGGAACAAATGAAATAGGTCCCATTTTAACAAGGTCCGCGCGAAGCCGCGGGCGTTTCAATTTGCGCCCCTAACACACTGCCGTATAAAATCAACGCAGAACCGAAACCTAATTTCTTCTCCACAATATTGACCCGTGTGTATGGTTCGCGTGCGATCCGCTTACCGCAGCGTTTTGTTTTACTTTCATTTTGTTTCGGATTCATGGCAGTGTATTCGGGGCGTTATTACGGATTTGCTCCATATTGTCTCGTTTCCATTGAAATTTGGGTATGCATTGTTCCTCTGCTGGAACACGGTTAGTTTGTGCGATTTTCAAGCGGAATATAATGTTTCAACAGACATACTGAACATTGCTCTCTCAACATTAATATTGTTTATTTGTAGACTGACCGATTAGTGGTTAAGACTTAGTTATTTTGTAAGAAAAATACGGTTTGAATCCCAACAGACTTAAAGATATTTAAAAATTATGTTAGAATGAAAAATAGACTTCTATAGTTCAAACTAAAGTTATGCAGTGTTCACTCATCATCATTACCTTTCTCCCTTACCTTACTCTCGTAGGGTCGGCGCAAAAGGTCTTTGTCTTCCAAATAACTCTATCATACGTCATCTCAGTCATCATTCCCATTTTGGTCATGTCAC